GATGATAAGAGTATACATCCTCTTATCATTCATATCAGTCGATCACACAATGAACTTAAAATTTAAAATTACAATGAATATCTAACGTTGTTTTCTTTATATCTCCACTCTTTGGAGAAGAACATTCACATGCTAACAAATGTGACTGTTCGTCAATTTCTTTCATCTATCCATGGTATTAATTTTGTAATATGAAAAAGGTTTGATTCTGTTTTCCTATGACCAGTATCAATTTCGAAAATTGAGTTTGAGATTTTCTTGAGAACTCTGTATGGACCGATTCTTATTTCGTCTAATTTTTTCCTATTTAAGCGATTGCCATTTTCCACATATACAAAGTCTCCGACGTCCAATTTAATTTCTTTCCTGTGTTTATTGAATCGTTCTGCATTGTAATCATGAGATTTTTTTGTTTTTTGGAATGCCAATTTTCGATCTCTTTCCAGATCTTCATTTTTACATCTTATCTTCAATTCGTGTGGCAAAATATTAGTGTTTTCGCCTTCCATTAAGTATTTAGGGGCAAATCCGGTGACGGTATGCTCTGTTTCGTTGTATTTCTTGACGCATTCTTGTGCAATGGTTGTCCATGCTTTTTTGTTTTCATTTATTTTGCACCTTATTTTGTTTATTAGAGTCTGGTTTAGTCTCTCGTTGAGCCCATTTGAGAATGGAGCATCAACTGCTGTAAAAATCAGTTTAATTTCTTTTTGTTTTAGAAATTGTTTAANATTTTAATTTCTTTTTGTTTTAGAAATTGTTTAAATTCATTTGAATTTATGCCGGGATATTGATCTGTTAATATTGTCTCAATGTTATTATTTTGTTCAACGTTTTTTGTTAGTTTTATGAAATCATTAGCGTTCTGGTTTTTTGACGTAAGAATATAAGCGTATCTCGTAAAATGGTCTACCAACAGATGCATATATTTTTTTGTTGAACGTGACCCTCCAAGTCCGCCAATGGTATCTATGGACATGATTTCGAATGGGTATGTGGCAGGTCCTAAGTGTGATAGAAATCCATATTTTGATTTTTTTCTTGACTTATTTTTTATACATACAGAACAGTTGTCACAAATTTCTTTTATGTTCTTTATAATATTTTCCGCTGTATAAAATGGAGTTATTTTGTTTATCATTTGTGTTCTTCCTAAGTGGCAGTAAGAATAGTGTATATCTTTAATTATTTTTTTACTAAGGTGTTCAGACAATAGAATTTTGTCTTTTTTTCTTGATCTTTTATAGTAAATTTCATTTTTTAAAATAAAATTTTTCTTCTTGTCTTTTAAAGATATGTTTTCCTCTTGGTCCTTTTTTATTTCTTCTAAACCTATTATGTTTACCACTTTAATAATGTCTTTAGCGTTATTTTCAGGTTCTAAAACTGGGTTTCTGCTTAGGCAGTCGGCCTCTTGGTTAGACTTCCCAGGATTGTATTTTACTTTGAAATCATACTGAGAAAGATAGTAAGTTAAATCTCCTAGTTCTTCATCCGTTCTTGATTTTATATTTAGATTTTCTAGAGGTTTGTGATCTGTGTAAACTGTAAATTCTTTACCGAGCAGCCAATGTTGCCAGTACTTAACCGCTTCCTTTATAGCTAAACATTCGAGATAAATCGCTTTTTTTTTTTTTTGTGTCTCGCTTAATTTTTTCGAAAAGTAAGCTACCGGTTTATAGTTGTTATGTTCATCTTTTTGTTTTAATACAGCTCCAACTCCTTTGATACTTGCATCAGTATAAATTGTGACAGGTGAATTTGGGTCAAATATTTTAAGAATTGGTTCTGAACAAAGTAGTGATTTAATGTTTTCAAACGATTCTTTGCATTCTTTTGACCAAATAAATTTCACATCTTTTCTTAAAAGATTATGTAGTGGATCTGAAATTTGTGCTATATATGGAATAAATTTGTGATGATAGTTAATTTTCCCTAAAAATTGTCTTACATTTTTTTTTGTTTCTGGAACTGGAAAACCTCTCACTGCAATTAAATGATCTTTTTGTGGTTTTATTGAATTCTTCTCGATTATATGACCTAAGTAATTTACATGATCTTTTGCAAATATGCATTTTGAAAATTTTAGTTTGAAACCTTCTTTAATAATTGCTTTTAGAAATTTTGATATATGTGTTATATGCTCTGTAAAAGTTTTTGAAAATATTAATATGTCATCTATAAAAGCAACTACAAAGNTTAATATGTCATCTATAAAAGCAACTACAAAATCAGAAAGGTTATATTTTCTTATAATATTGTTAATTATCCTTTGAAAGATTGCCGGTGATGTTTTTAAGCCGAAAGGCATGCACGTCCATTGGAAGTGGCCCTCTTGTGTTACAAAAGCAGTTTTTGGTCGGTCTTTAACTCTTACTGGTATCGACCAAAATGCTGAGTTTATATCCAGTGTTGTAAAATATTCACAATTTACACTTTTCACTATTAGATCTTCAATTAGTGGAATAGGTTGTTTTTGAGGAGTAATAATTTTGTTAATGTCCCTAAAATCTATGCACATTCTTGATTTTTTGTTTTCATCTTTTTTAAAAGCCAAGGTGACTGGTGCGGCAAAAGGGCTATATGATTCTTCAATCATTCCTTTTTTTAATAGCTGAGTTATTTGATTCTCTATTTCTTTTCTATCTTCAAATGTGCATCTATAGGGCCGCTTATAACAATATTTGTCCTCCATTAGATCGATGTGGGCTTCATAATTTTTGNCCTCCATTAGATCGATGTGGGCTTCATAATCCTTAACAGTACCCACATCATACTTATCCTGGGCAAATACTGATTTATATTTTTTTAACAAATCATCTATTTTAGATTGTTTTTGTATATCTAAATGATTTATTATTAGTGCAAATTCATCCGTATTTATGACTTCGTTGAAATTTACTTCATATTTTTTTATCATGTAATCTGGATTTTCATATATTTCAATATTTTGATCATGTTTATTTTCTTTCATGTCACCTGCAATTTCAGGAATATTGACACTTTCTTTTTGAATGATCCTTAGATCATTAGTTTGAATTAATTTAAAATGTTGTATACAGTCTAAACCGACTAAAAAATCATAATTAAAATTTTTGTTGTCTACAATAAAAACATTTACTATTTTTTCTATATTGTAAATTTTTATTTTTAATGATACCATTCCTTTTGTTTTTCCTGCACCATTAATAGTTTTCAAGCTTATCATTTGTAAGTCTTTTGTATTTTCTTGTTTTATTTTTAATAATTTAGCATTTATTATTGACACATTTGAGCCGGAGTCATAAACTCCAGAAATTTCTAAAGTGTCATTTATTAGTAGCTTGATTTTTATTAATGGTGGTACTATAAGTTTTTTTGATTTTCTTGATTTAATTTTACTTCTAATTCCTAATTGTTTACAGATTTCAATGATCCATCTTTTTTACTTTTGTCCTCTTTTTCTTTAAACCAGCAATTTAATTCAGAATGGAAGCGTTTCCCTTTGTTTGCATTTTCACATATTTGGCATGGTTTTTTTTCTTCCACTTTTTTTCTATTTTCAAAATCTGGTTTTCCTTTTCTCCCAATAGTATTGTTTTTAACAAGATGTTCTAGCTTGCTAATTTCATTATAAAGATCCTGAGTTTCTTCTAGAGTTTCTTTGTCTACTTTATCAGAGACATAATTTGGTAAGCCAACCGCAATAAGATCAATTAATGTTTCAGTATCTATAGATTTTCTAATTTGAAGTAATAATTTTTCTTTTTTTATAGCATATTCGAGCAAAGAACCCGATTGATATTTAAAACTAAAAGCATATCTTATAGGTGACCAACCTTTGTTTCCAAATGTTTCAATGAAATTTTTTTTCCAATTGTTCCATTCTGATTCTATAGAATATTTCAAAATCATACAGAAGTACCAATCAGCGCTGCATTTCTCAAGGAAAAATTTTAAAATTTCAATTTTTTTTTTTANCAAAGAACCCGATTGATATTTAAAACTAAAAGCATATCTTATAGGTGACCAACCTTTGTTTCCAAATGTTTCAATGAAATTTTTTTTCCAATTGTTCCATTCTGATTCTATAGAATATTTCAAAATCATACAGGAGTACCAATCAGCGCTGCATTTCTCAAGGAAAAATTTCAAAATCTCAATTTTTTTTTTTTCTTCATTTATTACACAGCGTTCACATTCTTTTTCAAATTGATTTATCCATTGATTAGCGTTTGTATTGTTTTCATTGAATTTGTCAATCATGAAATCACTAGCAATTTTTTGTAGATTTTTTATTTCAGAAGTCTGTTGTTTGGATTCCAAGATTTTTTCTAATAATTTTGTTATAGTGTCTGAAGTACTTACTATAGATTTATCACATTCTTCTTCTGAAATTTCTTCTAAATAAAGGTCTGAAAATAATAAGTTGTCATCATCATTTACATTAACTTTTTTCAGATCTTCTGTCATAGTTATCCAAACTTTTCTGAATTGATTTCTTTTTTTTAATGTATTTTTAACTCTATTATATACTTGTGATTTCATCAATTCCTTGTGTAAAGTTATTGGTTGGTATTCATCTTGAATAGCGAAAGTATGACCATCTGGTGTGCCTATTGAAGTTAGGCATAAAATTGTTGATTTTCCATCGGCCGTTCCTCTCGTTTTAAAGTCAAACCTTAGTTTGTCCATTTTTCATTTTTTTTTTTTTT